CCATTATTTTCAATGATCGATAATTTATTTCGATAATCACCCACCCCTAGCGACCAAATGACTTTTAATAGATTTAAATTTTAAAATTTTATCTGGTTTCAGACGTATGCATTTCTAGAGTTTGGTTTAGTACCACTTCGGCCGTTCCCATATCGGTCGTTAAATAAAAAAGTTGCATTTTGGCCGGTCGCCCTTTTTGGCATATTTAAAGTAAGATTAGAGTTACATTTCGGCCGGTCAACCTTTTTGGGATATTTAGATTAAGATTACTTAAATAATATCGGCCGTTTGTTTATATATTGGAAACTTGTTAATTTTTTAGCATAATATACAAACAGTTAAAAGAAAAACAAATTTAATAAACTCAAATTCTTTATTACAATATTTTTTAGAAAAAACAATCCAATGATACAATAAATAAATCAATAGATAATACACAGTATGACAACACAATTTTACTCAAATTTAGTAATGTACATGAATTTGTTCAACGTATTTTTTAAGTCAATATTTTTGTCCCTTAAATCATTTAATGTTTTTTTAATTCTAATATCAATATCAACGTATTTTTTTAATCTTTTTGGAGTTGGTATATATAGATTTATTTTTTGTAATTTAATTATATTTAAAGCAGCCTCCTCTTTCAATACAGTTATTAACTCGAAAATGTTTGGATGACTTTTCCCAATTTTTTTATTTAATTTACTATGCCATCCTTCCACTGCGTTTGTAGTCCGATGTCTGTGCCCCGAACATATCCAAATATTTTGGATAATTGGATTATCTAACCATTGTGAAGTAAAATAATCATTAAATTTAATAACTAGATCATTCATAGGTGAAGTTTCCGTTATAATCAGCCATCCCTCATCGATATTTTCTTTGGGTAAATAAGCCAGAGCAGCACACATTCTAATATGATTTCGTACTTCACTTTTATTACGATATGATAACACTAAACCTAAATCTTGAACTTTGCGCCATATAGTCTGATTAAAGTGAAAATTGCATCCATGAATTACAGTTTTGGGAAATACATATCTTATTGCATTTATGGTAGCTACTTCAAAATCCAATTTAAATACTTTCGGTGAAAAATTTTTAAACTTTGAAACAAGCAAGGAAAAAAGTCTTAAATAAGTTTTTTCTTCCTTATTCGGCAAAAGTACTATCCTCGGTACTTTTTACATCTGCATGTATAGTGTATAATTGAATAGATAGTAAAGAACAGTTCTTAAATGTTCCGTCTCCAAAAAATACTTCACTTTCATTTAATAAAGATTCACATACTAAATATTAATATTTTATCTTCAACACCGTCTTCTATAACTAAAAAGTTTTCCGCTAATTGTGGTAGCAACACAATTTCAGATATGTGTTTCGGTAATGAAACATTTCCAAATGTTTTTTGCTTAGCACGATAAAGGTTTGATTTTACTGAATTTAACTCAGGAATTTTGGTCACAAACTCCAGTCCTAGATTTTTAATGTCTTTGAATTCACTACTTACAATTTGAGGAATAGGTGTAAATTCTTCTTTTGTTCGCTTTTTACACTGAAAAACACACTTTTCAACTTCTCTTTTAGCTATATCCAAAACACAAGTATGATCTTTTTTCCCCAAAATTTGTTTCTTGTCATTTGTTGTAGAAACACGTCCACCACAGTTTCTATTAGAACACCTCCAAGATACATTTCCATATTTATGAATTTCTTTTATCTGATATCTGTAACCACCATTAATAAGTAGAGGTTTGCCTTTGCTGGTTTCAATAATTTCAATCTCGCTGTCCATTTTTAAGAACACCTTTCACTTTCAAATCTTTACTGATAATAAAAACAAATATTTATTATTTACGAAAAGAACATAAAAGGACATATCCAAATGGCAGGGTAACTAATCCTTTAATCCTTTTTCATGAGTATTTATTTAATACTTATGTCTATTATTTTTTTAACATAATTTGGTATTTCTAGTAATAATTATGCATTTCCAAGTAATTACTGATAATAAAGGTCAGGTGCAAATTGGTTTGCTATTAGAGATAATCACCCTTTAAAATGCCCTTAACACTTCGTCTACAATTATTTCTTAAATTAAACGACTTGAATGATAGTTTTTGGAAATACATATCTTATTGCGTTTATTGTAGCTACTTCAAAGTCCAATTTAGGTAAATACTTTCGGAGAAAAAATTTTAAACTTTGAAACAAGCAAGGATAAAAGTCTTGTATAGGTTTTGTTTTCCTTATTCAGCAAAAGAGCAAAAATGACCGGAATAATAGAAGGACTATCCTCAGTACTTTTTACAATTAAAAAAATAATAAAGAACAACTCTTAAATGCTCAGTATCCAAAAAATACTTCACACATTTTAATAAAGAGTCACAAAATAATAAAGAACAGCTCCTAAATGCTCCGTCTCCAAAAAATACTTCACATATTTTAATAAAGATTCACATACGTTAATAAATATTAACATTTCGTCTTCAACACCGTCTTCTATAACTAAAAAGTTGTCCGCTAATTGTGGTGGCAACACAATTTCAGATCTGTTTCGGTAATGAAACATTTCCAAATATTTTTTGCTTTAAATTGAACGACTTGAATGTTTTTTTATGATTAACTCTGCTCCCAAAATTGCCAAACCAAAGCGTAATTTCCACCCTGTACTGTAGATTGATCAACCGAAATGCAGCGTATCCGTTTTACCTGAAACGCATGAAAAGGACAAGCGGCCGAAATGGGACAAAAAGAGGTAGATTTTTTTAAACGGCTGAAGTGAGAACGGCCGAAGTGGTATATCACCCTAGAGTTTTATGTGACTCATCCTCTATATTAATTATTATTCTAAAGAAAGAAGTTTTAATATACCTTTTTCTGAGGTTACAAAACAAAAGAGCAGTTTCTTATTTTGAATAATTTTTAATATTATGTAATAGCCATAGAAAAAATAAAATGTTTAACTCACAGGGTCTAATTTGCAATATTCGCCTGCGCACATGCTATTTTTATCATACTCGTAGATAATGAGTACTATTTCTTGCTCAATTAACAATATTCCATTTCAACATTTTACTGTAGTTTCTTGCAGAAAAGTCCGTAGTAAAAAAACGCTAACGAAATATTCTATAAAAGGTATTTGCTTTACATTAAATGTCGTGACATCTGTTTTATATTAAAAAATCCCGTTAATTTTATTTCATAATACAAAATTCCACTAAACATCTTTTAAGTAAACCTAATAGTTCATTATGATGCTAATAAACAAATTTCGTCCCTGTCGCAGAGTTATTGGTATCCGCCCAGTTCCCCCACTTTGTTAACCTTTCTTTAGAAATTGGCAACATTTGAGCAGATTAAACACCGGTGTATTTTATATCTATGGTCTCTTTTATCTAAGATGAACAAAAAAAAAAGAATAAATACATTAACAAATGTTACGGTCGGTCGTTTGCATCGTACCAGGCTATGGAAGATCGCGCAAGATGTTAAGCACATATTGAAAAAATCTTAATTTCTATCTATTTACATAAATTATAGAATCAAAAATATAAATCGTCATGTGCATATTCGCACCCATATATAAACGGCAACGTTTAATGTTGAAATACAATAAACTTTTAACACTCTCCAAATTGGAAGAAGTTAACTGTTTAACTTATAGTTAACACCAAACTATTTATAAAAAAAATAGAAAGATGTAAATTTTATAGCTCTGTCCCTTAGGGGTCTTATGAGATTACTTAACTTTCAGTTTCTTGTTTTTTTATATAAAGAAGAACTCTAAAAATTGAAATGGTGAATATAGCCCTTATGTCCCGAGGTATTTGAGGTCAATACTCAGACCGAGACACTTAATCCTTCAATAACAAAATTTTGAAATAATTGATTATACTTGACTACTACTTAATTAATTAAATTATTTAAGTGATATTGTTAAGGATTAAAGTTTCACATAAGTATTTCTTCATATTCATTGAGATCAGATCTTTATTAGCGTATAGAAATTTAAGGATTAGGTAACAATGAGCAGACAAACTGTTGATATATTCAATAAATCGAAGATTCTGATCTAAAAGTAAGCCCAGACATTTGGCTACATACTCGTATACAATAGGAATTGTGTCATCATCAACTTTTAAAAGAAATATTTTTAATATAGGATCGAGATTGGGTATTTTAAAAGATGATTGATTTAGATTTAGATGGATTTAAATACAGATTATAATGAAAATAAAATATTTTTTTTTAGTTACGTCGTTACTAACCGCTTCCTTGCTGCCTCTGCATTATCGGAATAAAATGAATGGCGGAGTTGGGTATCGTCAGCAAAAAAACTGTATTTTACATGGAAGAGGTTGTTCACATAAATCTGAAAGAGTCAGGGACCTAGTACAGAGCCCTGCGGTACTCCTGATTTTATGGACTAAAATGCAGATGACTGATTATTTACTTGTACTTTTTGCGAATGAATATTTAAATATGATTTAATAGAGCAGAGAGATTTGTCACTAAAGCCATATTAACTAGATTTAGATATTAACAACAGGTAGTTGAATGTGTTGAATGCTTTGCAACACGAGAGCTGAATCTTGATTGTCATCTAATCCGGTTATAATAAAACCAGTTAAGTAAGCTGTGGTCGTACTGTGGCTTTTTCTAAATCCTGATTGGTGTAAGGGCAGTAATTCATTTAAAGTGAGAAAATTTGTTTATATACGATTTTTCTAAAACTTTAGAGAAAACTGGAAGCAATCTTATCAGTCTCAACTCGTTGCAGGATAAAGGGTTATTTTTCTTAGCCACTGGTACAACAACTGCTTTTTTCCACGGATCAGGCAAATAACCTTGTTTTAAACAACAGTTGATATGTGTAATATACGGTAAAATGACAGGTATACATAATTTAAGCATGTCCAGAGAAATATTATCGACTTCATTGACATTTGGTTTGACTTCAATAAGTGTTTTCAGAACTGTACCCACGTCTACAACACTAAATTCAAAATTATTGTTATTGTATTTGAGTACGGTAGTAAGCCGTTTTATTACTAAACTGAAAATTGCTGTTTTGGAATTCCGTCATAAATGCTTCATTTGTTTTGAAGGGATCCAATAACTGGTGAGGTATATTATTGTTTTTTGAAACTTTTTTAAAGAATTTTGATACTCCTTATTTACTTACGTTACTTAAGCATGCAGCTTTTTCTTTAATGTCAATGCAACAGCAAAATTTGTATTGATTCCATGCTTCACGTGTTCAAATACACTTAAGTATAATTTATAACCACCGTAACGTAACTTAACGCCGTAGAAACTTAACCTAAGATATAAAAATAAAGTCTCTTTATAAATGTCCGTAACGTAAGAGTTGAGCATGCGTGTTGAAATAAACAAGTGTAAACTATGTACTTAACCTCTAAATAAAACTTATAAATTATGATTTTGCTATATAGAAAGAATATATTTACTTTAAAAGCAATAATATAAAAATATAATAAAACAAAATAGTTTACCGAAGGTTGATTGTTTCTGAGCAATAATGAGAATTTAATCTTTCCTAGCAAAAAAGTTTTGTCTTATTTCAGTTCTAGACTTGATGTTTATAGGTATATGCAGCTACACTCATATCTCATAGATAGTTTATCCCCAATAACATAAACACAAATCATTCATGATAATGTATGTCCATCAAAAAGGAGAATGATAGTTTACAAATGGTATTTTTCTATTTATTTATAAAAAAAAATAAAAAGAGAATAATTGACAGTTATCACATGCTGAACGCAGAATTATCTCATTGGCTAACCGTAAGGCCTTAAGTTAAGTTATGTTGTTAAGTTAAAAGTTGGTGAACTTTCTACGGTACGTTAAGTTCTTAAGTTACGTTACGAACATTATAAATAAGTATACGTAAATTCAATATTTCAACTTCTTACGTTAAGTTCTTAAGTTACGTTACGGCGGTTATAAATTAAGCTTTAAAGTTGACCAGAGCTCTGTTACGTTCTTTGTATATTTTTTTAGATTTTCAGTTAACTAAGGAACGCAAGGTTTGCTAATTCTAATAGTATTGTATGAACAGTGAATGTCAAATAACTGGGTAATAGAATCAGTGAAAAATCAAACTTTACTTTCTATATCTCTTATAGGGATTAAGTCGTGCCAGGGAAAATTAGATAAGTCATTGTTAAAATAGTTAAAATTTTTCTAGAAATGACAAATTTTTGTTGGTTAGGGGTACAATCAAATTTGAGGACGCAATAAGCAAAGCGGTGATCAGAAAATAGGTCAGCATTTACAGATCCACTACCTAAACAGATTTTTGAATTATCAACGTAAACAGGATCTATAAGTGTTGCTGAAGTTTCGTGTAGGTTCCGTAATAACTTGTATCAATTCATATGCTGCAAGACAATGGTTGTTAGTAAAATCTACGTTAATATCCCCCAAAACGAAGATGTTTTTAAACCAAGGGACTATCGAAGTCAACAGTAAGTTAATAAAAGCAGGCATAGAACCCTTAGGAGGTATGTAAAGAATACCAACTGACACACATTTGCTATTTATTTTTAGTTTAATCTATAAATATTCCAAATTAGAACATTCTTCAGAGGTTATAACTAACTAATAATACTGTCCCTAACTCCAAAAGCTGAGCTTGTGCGGGGAAAGGGACGGCTATTATTATTATTTGCCGTAGCACTCCAGGGCGACTTAGAAATGATTGATGGTGCCATTTGAGCTACAAGTGAGGGAAACCTCACCCACCATCATCGAGACGGTGATGCATGGCGATTTTATAATCTGTATGTCTTATCAAAAATGATATTTATATTTAACAAAAATTTATACTCAACCTCTACGACTGTTACGCTTATGTCTAAATAAATTATATCTATCAATGAGTATAAAATTAGATGGTATATCGGTTTTGAGCCACGTCTCAGATACAGCGACGATATCAAAATCGTAGTACAGAAATCATTAAAAACAGCTAAGATTGACCGGGCATCTATATGTCCTATTTTTAGAGTAGATTTGTTTTTAAAAGACGTATTTGACATTAATTTCTAAATTATTTAAAAGTTATCAAAACTGAAAAAGAAATTTCTGAAAACTGTTTCGGATAATTCCAAAACATTTTTTCTTTCCTCCTACAATCTTCAAAACCGATAAATGAGATGGAATGTTTATTATAAAAATTACTAGTTATTTCCAAAGAATATGTAATTCAAAATATTAATGAAATAGAAAATATTATGTTACTAGTATTTCAAAAATATAAAAAATTCTACGACTGAAAGTAATACACCAAATCATGCAGAGCAAAAATAATGTTTGACGATATCGCTCGGTGCAGCGTTGCCACATCGAGCCTCGCCCGTTATAGCAGAGTGGTAGCAGCACCTGGCAGCCAATTTTAATTAAAAAGCGTAATATTAATCCCATTTAAAAAGTATCTACTTTTTTAAAAAATAAAAACCGTCAAAAATTCTTAAATTTATTATATATTGGGGCAGAAACATTAAAAATTTACAAAAATTTACTTAAGGTAGTTCACTCGCGACAGTCGTACATAAAAATATCGCTTAGTGGTGAATACCAATAGTTCGAGATTCTCAATGCTAATCAATTTTATTTTTGTAAGAGACTGTACAAAACACATGTAAGCTTATACAGTGCTTTTCAGATAAAAGTATCCACCTTAAGTAACTTTTGAAGGACTGATTATTACAAAAAACAAAAAAATACGTCAATTAATATTCGAAGGGGGAAATATCGTGCCATATTTAAGTTTGCTAAAAAAGTCACCCTTTCACCCCTACTATCATCCCTTTAATTTTTTTAAATGGCTTGCCCCATTTTTTTATACATTTTTGGATTGCTCTCGTTTAACTGACTTCAAAAATGTATAAAACATGGGGATTAAAGTAATTAGTTTACGATCTACAGAATTTTAAATTAAAATAAAATTGAATTGTGCAAAACTTTTATTTTAATGATTTTGTCACAAGCGTTTCCAATGACAAAACGAATATTTCATTTTCAAAATTTATTATAAAAATTGTTCAAAATGTCCACCATTTACTTCCATACAATGGTATAACCTAGATTGAAAAGCCTCCCTGACATTACCGAACACGTGTGCATTTAAATGTAGGCATTCATACTCTATTCTTTGTCGTAAATCTTCTAAATATTCTGGTTGGGTAGCATAAATTTTTGTTTTTAAATAACTTCATAAAAAGAAGTCTAGAGGTGATAAATCCGGTGATCTAGGTGGCCACTCCATCATCGAGCCTCTTCTACCTATCCAACGATTGGGGAAAGTTTCATTTAAAAATTGTCGTACTGGCAAAGCAAAATGTGGAGGTGCTCCATCCTGTTGAAAGACAAGCAAATCTTCAGAAAGGTTATGATCCTTTTCTATTATTGTTGTAATACGTGGATCCATTTCTTCTCTCAATAACTCAAGATATGACTCTCCATTTAAGTTTCCGTCTAAAGAGAAAGGTCCGACTATGTGGTCACCTAGGATACCACACCATACATTTAACTTTTGAGGATTCTGTGTGTGGTATTCATGCACAACATGTGGATCACTCTCAGCCCAATATCTGCAATTATATCTATTAACTAAACCACTAACTGAAAATGTGCATTCTTTCGAAAAACAAAGGTTGTGCAACAAATGTGGATTGTCAGTCAAGCGCTGACTCAATAGTTCACAAAATTCAAGACGACGATCAAAATCATCTGCATACAACTCTTGAACCAATTTAATTTTGTATGGATGGTACTTATGCTTGTGTAATATTCGATAAACTGTGGAAGATGAAACACCTACTTCTCTGCTTATTGTTGTCAGTGACTGTGCTTGCTTGTTGATTTTCAAGACTTACTTGTCCTAAAACTGCGACTTCAATTGCTTCGTTATTTACGAGTTCCAGTCGGTTATGTTTTTTGTTACCAACTGACCCGGTTGATGTAAATTTATGCACAATATCAATTAAATACTTATGAGTTGCATGACCTCCTTGGTGTGTTTCGTTGAAAATTCTAGCAGCAGCTCGTGCAGAACTGTTATTTTTGTAGTATAAACCTACAAGTTCAATTCTTTCTTGTAAACTGTAAACCATTTTCAAATCAAATAAATAACCTCAACAAATCAATGTGCACATGTATCAAAATACACTATAAAAGTAATTTAAATTCATTTTTCAAATCTCCAATACCTTTACCATGTATCATAAAAAACTTCAACAAGTTTTTAGCGGTACGATTAAGGTATAATATATTCTAAATCCAATTTTGCTGCAGTCAGTAAGGTGAGATGTAAAAATTTATCACTCAAATAATGGAACCCTGTAGATCATAAACTAATTATTTTAAACTCCATGTTTTATACATTTTTGAAATCAGTTAAACGAGAACAATCCAAAAATGGATAAAACAATGGCAAGAAGCCATTTAAAAAAATTGAAGGGATGGTAGTAGAGGTGAAAGGGTGACTTTTTCAGCAAACTTAAATATGGCACGATATCTCCCCCTTCGAATATTAATTGACGTATTTTTTTGTTTTTTGTAATAATCAGTCCTTCAAAAGTTACTTAAGGTGGATACTTTTATCTGAAAAGCACTGTATATATTATAATGTTCAAAGCGACAATTAATTATTAATTAAAATGTATAATAAATTTTAAAATTCAACTTTATCATAAATGTATCATTCAGTATTTTTTTTTGTGTAATGAATTGAATTGTGAGTACGTCCTGTATATCAATTTTTATTTTGAATTGGATATCAAAGGAGGAGACAGTTTTTGAAGGTTGTTGGTTGAATGTCAATTTTGAAGAAAGCCATGTCAAAATTATTTTTGGCAAAAGATTTATTTTGAAAAATAGGGAAAAGAAATTATAAAAACACATTGAATAAACAAATTTATATAATCAGATACATAAATATAGTTGTATAAAGTAGGAAGTTATAAGGTACAATATGGTTACTGAAAGTCATATCTAACTGCATTCCGGAGAGATATCAAAGAAACCCAGAGGAGAAATCAATCAAAGATGGTGAAAACATACTTCTGGAAATAGACAATTTTATAATAATACAACAGTGAGTAACAATTTTACGAACTTATCACTATTGATAATTTTTTAACAAACTGCGTGAGAAAAGACGTTGTTGGTGGTTATATTTTTTTTTTGTAGATTTTAATTCTAGGTTGTAGTATAGTTGTGGTATAAATGGTGAGCGAATGAGTTTAGTAATTTAGGTTTAGTAATTTAGTATCCCCATGAATATAAATACATGGGTATTTTGGTAATTTGTTATTTTAAAATTGGGATTTACCTAATTAACATTGTGTTTGAAATAAATACTGTAATCTGGTGTTAAAAATTTGTTTATTGAATATAGAACATACAGGTAGTAAAGTAAGTCAAGGCATAAGTTTTATTTTTTTGATTATTGATAAATACAATAAAAATTAATAAAATTAAAAAAATAAATAAAATATAAATTGAAATTAAAATAAATTAAAAAAAAATATATATATATAACTTAAAATATAATACATAAAAGAAGATAAAACTAAATAAAACAAGTGTTATTCTTAATAATTTTGAAACACCCCTGAGATTAAGAAAAAGAAAGCCGAGGTAAATAATGTTTATAATTAAATTAAAAAAAAAGTAAATGATATACAGTATGATATCATTACAATATATATATATATATATATATATATATATATATATATATATATATATATATGGATAAAATCCATCCGGCAACCTCATAAATATGTGAATGGTTTGTTATAGAAATTTGTGACTTCCTCATATTAATTTTAAGGGTTTGTTTTGGTTCAAACAGAATCGCTGATTCCAGTTCTCAATACAGTGGACGAATTAATTTTTCAAGAAAACGTCGCGAGGTTATATCATCCTCTTAGCTGATCGAGTACAACGCGTTGATTGCGGCGTATACAACGTGGCCAAGTTGTAATACTTTTACGCAACTACGCGTCGATTGCTTTAAAAATACTTTAATTTTAAAAATCTATATCTTTTTACTAAGACGGTCAAAAAATTCAGCGTTTCTTTAGAAAATGTTATAACTTCTTGATTTACATTGGATTAGTTTTTAAAAAATATGGTAAGAACCGTTTTCGAGATATCTTGAAATAAATGCATTACTAGTGTACATGAGAGGCTTTAAGGGTGTTAATTAAGCACATTTTGATAGTTAATATCTCGTTTCACAGACGGTCAAAAAATTTAATATTTTTTAGTTACATAAAAGACACTTTCATTAACCTTATTTTTCAATTTTATTGAATAAAAAAAAAAAATAAAAAAAAATGTTTCTGCCCCAAGCAATAAATATTGATAATTAACTGAAAAAAAATATGAAAACTAAACGTACGAGATATCCTGGTCGCTCTTAACGTCTAGCTACTAGTGTAGATCCGCACCCATCGCCCAAGTAGTCGTGTGCTGAACTAGCCCTAAGAAAAGTATAGTGACTTGTAATTCTTGTTAGTAAAGTCTAACGCTAATAATGTTGAATAATAAATTTTATAAAAAAAATTTCATGGTGGTTTTATTTTTTTTTGTAAACCGAATATTTTTTACTATTATTGTTTGCTCATTTGACTAATTATTTTAATTTTATACGTAAACAGTACACTTAAAGTACTTGAAAAGGATATTTTTTTATACAAAGAAAAATATTCTGTAATTCGACATATTTTACATTTATTATGCATTATAAAGATACATATCGTTAAATAATAACATTAAATATAAATATATTAATTATAACAAGGTTATTTTACATAAAAATTTTATTTTATTAAATATATAAAAGGTCTGACATTGCATTACGCCGTAAACCAGTTGACACTTTACGTCCAACATGAAGATCGCAGTATTTGGATTTTTGTTCATTGTTATTTTATTCGCTTCAAGCAGTCCAGTAGCATACGGTGAGTTATTACTAATTTTTTAAAAATAATATCAAAATATATTAATGTCGTCAAAAAAAAAAAATAATTTCGGCTTCTATACCCTATACGAATTTTTCTTTTGTCCCATCTGTGCTTTTGCGGCGTTATCCGTAAATATAACTTTGCACTGGTAGTCAGATATACTATCTTGAATAAATGACTAAGATGTAACGTTAATTAGGTTTAGTTGTTGAATTCATATAAAAAGCTTACAAATGGGTATTTGAATGTGATTGAAGCAGCCAGTTTTACGCTAATTTGATCAAGTTCACCTCTCATATAAGAACGCATTTTATAATTGTAGGTGTGACACTAAAAAAATATCTACCTACACGTAATACGTTAAAATAATTACGTACATGTAATAAATAAAGGTGTGTGTTACATAAATGTAATTCTCCAAAAAGTCTCCAAAATCAAATCAAACTTACGCGAGGGTAAACTATTTAAACAGAACCATTCTCGTAAAAAATTAATTCTTTGTTTGTTCAAGAAATATTATTCTGTATGACCAGTCATCTATATGATGTAAAAAAAAATCTTACTAAGATACAACTCATTCCTTTTGGAGGGGAGCAGGAGAGAAAATTTGTTTACGTACACCTAGCTACTGATCTGTAAAGTAGTCGAAGACTCATTACTTCCAATACTCACTAAAAAAACCCTCATTACTGTTTGCGGCTGCAGCTGGAACCATTATTTGACACGTTAGCCATGGTCCCCGCCATATTGTTTTACACTGCAACTCGTTTTACTCGTGATTTCCTTTAATACCACAACACAGTTTTCTTTAGCCTTACCAATATTTGGGATCAAGATTTCTGCCTTTATTATATCTAGTTTTTCTATCTGTTTCCGCCTCTCTCTAGTATAATCTCTTTTTCCGCAAGCGTATAGGGTATGTTTGGATCTGTCAACCTTTCAGCAATTATGTGCAGGATTTATCTGCAATCTAGCTTGTTTTTTTGTGTATGTATATTCAAAAAAAACCGTAGGCTTGGATCAGCCAATAGTCCATTTTCCTATCTAGGAAAGCTATCCAAAACTATTTAATTTTCCGGTCAACTGCTTGGTCCATAAGCATACTCTTTCATGTTCATCCCATCCTTCTTGCCATTTCTTCATGCTTGTCTCCTTTGCGTATCTTGTCGTTTATCATTACATCCATGTCATAAGTTTCCTTCCTTTTTTTTGTACGAGGATGTCGATGGGAATCACCCTCGCGATAACTTAAGACGTCGCAGTGGATATCGTGCTAGGCCGATACCATCCGCTGGAGTAAGTAGATACAACTGGAACCGTTTACAATCGTTTATTACCCATAAAACGTGAAGTTAATCACTACTTTTTAGGTACATTTCTTGGTAGAAATGAGAAATACGTCAAATTACTTGGTCAAGGTTGAGTTGGGTTAAATAATAAAGAGATGATCACACCACCTTTCACCCAAATAAACCTATTGTTGATCATTCATACCTTACCCAGAACTTGTCTGATGTTGGTATACTCCAGTCAGGTAAAGCCGAAGGTTTGAAACTTTATGTCTTTCCAGCTGTATTAACAGTGAATATTTACTCTCTTCATATCTCTGGCTACATAGCCTATCTACCAAAAACCTTTTATCCCTACTCTTAAACACGCACAGAAGAAGCTATTTTGATGAATGTTGCAACTGTGTCTGTCATTCTCGTTTATTGCTAAATACGTTTTTCTGTCCCTGTAATCTTTATTATATTTAAAATATTATTCGTAATGATATACCATGTGTGCCGTTCTTTAGGTAGAGTTCTTTAAATTTCTCTTCAAATTAGTTCACTTTTAGTGCATTCTTATACAGAAATACTATACATTGCAATATTACTTGGCATCGTCGTAAAGAGCTCAGTAAATGCATGTGTCTGCCTCAGCTTTCCCTATATTGAATGTGAACCTTCTGAAAGATCCATGACTATAAAGAAACTGGCGTTGATACAGTTTTATATTAGCTTAGACTGTTACTATTAATAAGTTTTTTTTTATTTATTCATGGACAAAATGCTGTGCCATCTAGTGACTTTGTATAGCAACGTAGAGTAAATTAGCCCCAATAACGTTCTTCTCGTCGAATAGTTATGGCAATTAACGTTTTGTACGATTTCCTGAAGGGCCTTTTTTTTATTGGGATCACAATGTAACTATTGTGAGTGATATCCAGCTAGAGATTGTTGCCCTTTATCCATTTTTAAATTTGCTTTAGCGCTTTGTTACACCTATCCGTCATCCGTATATGTGATTTGTTCTCAACCAATACCACTAAGTCGTCCGTAAAGGCTATGGACCTACATCCCACTCCTAATTTTGGCGTAAGAACGTTATTGTACAACAAATTTGATAGGGCCAGGCTGAGGACATAATCCTGTAGTTCTTCTGTACTCAGCGTCGTTAAGTGGTTCTTTTTCACGTCTATTCTTTACTTTCAAAGTGATATTATTAGTAGATTAGTCCATGGAATCTTGTAATTTTAAAAGCTAAGCTGGCACATAAAATGTGCTCTATAGATTTATCTTCAATATTTTGGAACAGTTCGTTAATTATTGCAGATCTAACCTTCTCATGTGGTTATCTAGGCGACGTTTTCCCATGATCAGTATGCCTAGATCGTTCCTACTTCATTAACGGAGATGAGCAGCGGTATTTATAGAAAGGTTGAGCATAAACCTGCCCTAATGAATTAACACTAGGGCACCTCTCCAGTACATGATTGTTGCATCCTTTGTCCAGTTGAAATAATTCTGTTGGCAATGCTTTTTGCATTTCCAAGGAATGGTTTAGGTTTTACAAACTCATATTTAGTCCGTTTCTCGTAACTTTGTTCCGTGCACCGAGATATTCAAGGGTATTTTTACAGTTTTTAACCATCTTTGAATCGAATCAGTTGCCTGTCTGTCTATCAGAAAGATCATTTCTGCTTGGAAGGCCGTGACAAAAGTTGCCAGATTTAATTATATGTTAACTCTACTTTTTGCTAAATAATCCAACTTCTACTTGCTCCTTGAGTTTATCTCTGGAATAAAGAAGTTGATAATTGTATGACTTTTTTTTGTGCCATCAGGGAACTAGCGAGTCAGAGACTATGTCTGGTGTGTGTGTTGGTTACGGCTATGAACTTTACTCAACAATTCTATTTTGCCTAATTGCAGTTGTTCCCCGAATTGACTTTTCACAGTCGGTAGCCTGTAGGAGACCTTTTAACATTGCTTGCAAGCAAAATGTGAAAAGGTGTTAGATTCAGCATAGCTCCTATGGTTTTCGTTTTAACTTGGGCAAATTCGTAGCCTTTTTTCTATCTGTTTCGAGTATTAAGTGGGAAATAGGCAAAGGTGCGATAATTTTACTTTAGTCGAATATTAGCCACAATAGATCCATCTGGGTAGCAGTGGAAGGCAATGAGATCATCCTACTCATTTTCAACCTAATCTAGCCAAATAATAAAAAAATTATTTGAAAATAATATTTTATTAAAGTGAGCTGTGCAGAAGTCAAATTCGTATTGAAATGAGTCCTGGTATAATGTTTGATGGAATTGAGAAATTTTCGCTTGTACCTTCTAATACGACATTGGTGCTAATTATGCCTATTTAGATGCTGTTAAAAGGATTGAAGTGCCACTAAACAGGTTACATAATTTAATTATAAATGTATCCAAAAACTTTGTCAATTGTGGTTTTAGTAGCTTGTTAAAATTAAAGATGATGTAACATACTATTAAAGAAAAAGTCAAATGTATTGGGAATGCTTATTTAATATCTTTATACTATGTTGATCAAAAAGAAAATTATAGTAATTTGTATTAAATCAGAAACTGTTAATATGAAACTTTAACTTTTTGTTTAAAATTGTTTATTAATAATTATTCTTTCAGGGGACAACGGATTCGTTTGCGACAACGTATTGGGTGATCTTCAGAATGGACCATCCAAACTAAATGACGCCTACTGTGCGTCTCGTTGCATTTTAAATGGCAATCAAGGACAATGGTGCGATCAAAATAAACGGTTTACTGGATTCATAAGATATTGATATTACATGAATGTACCTGAGTTCTACAACAAAATGTCTAAGACATTTATTTACCTATTTAAATATATTATTTATAATTTATATATATTATTCCTATAATAAATAACTTGTAATAACACAAAATATTTTATTTATTTGTTGTTTTTTTTTATACTTTATTCAATGTAGGTGTATTTCAAATAAGAGGTTTAAACACGGACGCCTTACGCCCATACCAAGAACTCTCTGTAAATTTGCTTGTAAATAATTTGTAAATTAAAAATATTTTAGAAATTGCTTTAACTAAGTGTAGACCTGCATTGGGATTTTTATTTTTCAATACGGCACGTATTGAGACGCCTATCTTCGTTTCACAAAATACGATTTTTATGTAATGTCTCTCTATTCTATTCATTACGTGTTGAGATCGAACATAAGAATCTCTGTCCAGATTAGTTGTTTTGCAGTTTTTCGTGTACCTACGTGTCTTATTTGAATTATGTGAGATAAAAGAGTTAAAAATTAATAATATTTAACTAATTAAAGTAGAAAAATAATGAATTAACAAAAAATGTGAAACTGTCTTTATATCAATGCAATAAATAACATATATTGTCAAATTTTAATAAGTACATATTATAGGTTTTCAAATTTAAAACTTTAATAAATTTGAGAAGGCATCTAAAAGTTCCAGACAAGAAGTGCCTTTTTAAAAGATGTATTGAAATTACAATTTATAAAAGGCCAATAATAATTCCTTTCCTGATGCAGAAAATAAAACAAAAAACAAAACAAAACCGATTGCCACACTTCGTAAAATATCTCCTAAAAAGGGCCTTTTATGAAAGCTCTTCATTTACTTAAATATCCTAAAACGTGATGAGACAAAGTTTGATCAACATGGTCACGCCAACAATGGCCTATAATAATAACGGCTTAAGATGTTATACCTATCTATCATTAGGTTTTTATTTTCTGAAAATTATAATTAACCTGCAAATAATATACTTTGTTTATATTCTTAAGTATTAGATAACAATAAATAATGTTTGTTGAAAATGGATATTTTTTTGGGAATTTTAATTCTTTAAAATTGTACAGTAAATTCGTATGGCATACATAAATTAGAGGTGGTCGATATATCATTACCGGTTACTTTTCACCGGTGATTTGAAAATCACTGGCTCTACCGGTTATTGAGTTTTATTGTTGACAGGTACTTATGTATGACCATAGCAGTTAAAAAAAATAGCCTGGATCGTGATCTATTGATCTTACCACCGTAATTAGCGACCAGCGACGATGTGTTAAGTATTTTACTTATGTATTTATTTTGGGTTGCAGTTTTTTGATCTCAGCTTGGGTATTTTTAGCTGTCATATTCATTTACCCAGATATTAACAAGTAAATACAGTTTTGAGAATGTCTCAACAATTAAAATCAAAGAAGATAAAGTTTAGTGGAATTTTGAACTTTGTATCCCTATTTTTAACGTGACAATTATCAAAAAAGTTTTCTCTTAAAACTACAAATTCAAATTAAAAGAAACATATGAAATAAAAGCATCCTTCATTGTCTCCTTGGAAGAAAACATCGGCAATAAGTGACAAAAAATTTAAGACAACTAAAACTTTTTTACTTTTAGCACAAGAAGATAGGTATAATATATTAAAATTATTCTTTCAAATCACAAAATATCTATATAAATTCCAAAAAATTTTGTAATATTTTGGAACGTTACTATAAGGAAAACATGAAAACAATCATTAAAATATTAAAAAAAACTGCTTTGATTTATATTGCTCTTTTATGAAAACAATAATTGATTTAAAAATTTATATTCTATATTATATCTATAATATTTTTCATCGATATGCACGCTTTCGATTTCTGAACCGCATTCACAATTGATAGGAATTTATCGATATCACAGGCTCATAAACTTATATGTATATCGTAAAATCACCGATCACTGCTAAGAATCACCGTGATTTTTAAATCACCGGCACCGGTATTCCGGTGTATCTAAAAATAAGGTATCGACCATCTCCAAAATATGGTGTTATCGAACTCTCGTACAATATCTGTATCTGTAACGTGTGGAGGGTGGGTTACCCCACGACACTTAGGCCTCATTAGGCCCATTTTGCATTCTCCTAAGATGATAGGCACCTCTTAGCTCGTAGGCGAGCCTACAGATTTAATGTAGTTGACAACGTCGCCAAGAGGTGCTTCTCTTATATCGGCCGGTGTTAGCCGATACTCGCCGAACACAAATCTTCTTATAAATGAGAGCATCGAGCAATCGTAAAGTATATGCTCGATGGTCTCATCTTCTTGTTTGCACCCTCTGCAGAGTGCGGATTCTGACAGCCCCATGATATGGAGATGCTTTCGTACTTGGCAATGACTAGTCAGAATCCCTGTGACTAGGTGCAGATTCTGTCTAGTCGTAGTCAAGTATTTGTTAGCTGCAGTGTTGTCAGGATAACTTAAGAGCTCCTGGCAACTCTGCAGTTTCTTGTTTTATCCCATCTTTCCTTCAATTTCATAAGGGAATGTTCTTTGATTAGGTCTGTCACTACCGATTTTGTCAGGTCAATAGAAGAGCCAGGTCCAAAAAGTATTTGGTTGGCTGCTTTCTTGGCTAGTGAATTAACAAAACGGTTACCTTTCGATGTTGCGTGACTTTTGATCCATCTTAAGGTGACCACATTGTTGATGGATACTTCGGCCAAAGCTTCGTGACATTCTAGTTATAACCCTGAGTAAATTCGTGGTCTGTTCAGGGTGAGTAGTGCTTGTCTGCTATCTGTATAGATGAGAATGTTCCTTCCAGTGATATTGTTTCTGGTTATTTCTTTTGCTGCTATGAGAATACCTGTTAGCTCTGTTTGAACTACACTGGCACTATTACTCACAACGCATTTTATGTTTAAGTTTAAGAATCTGGAGTATATTCCACATCTTGAGCCTTGTTTTGTTTTAGAACCGTCGGTGTAGATATGAATCGTACCTGCCACTTCCGGCTCTTCTATTTGTTCTATTATAACTTTATATGGCGTATGGAAGATATTTTCCATAGAAAATCACTAATCACTTATAAATTATACTTAAACCATGCTTTAGATAAGGTAGTTATCAAATTCTAATTTACAAAAGTCTGCACAAAATTCAAATTTAAAACAATTTACTGAGTAAATAAATGAACTTATCTGTCGGTACAAAAGGCAAGTTAAAAGGTAAATTCTGGTATTTCCTCACTCCAATCTATAAAACGTTTCTCATCTGATAGTCTAGAGATGAACCGTGAATGATCTTCGATCTTCAAGATAAATGGTTCTTCTGTCTTTGAACCCAAAACTGTCTAGAGATGAAACATGAATAGTCCTCAGTATTCGAACTTGAACTCGAAACTGTCTAGAGATAAAACGTCTAGAGATGAAATCGAAATCATCTAGAGATGAATCCAAAAATGTCTAGAGATTGAACCAAAACTTTCTATATATAGTCATCAGCTAAAAAAGGTTAACATGTCAAGATAGGGGAAAGGAAATTTAAAAAGGATTTAAATAAAATGTTTTAACTATTAAATGAATAATTTCAAACTATTAAATGAATAATTTTACCGAGACTAAAATTAATATGAAAAGGAAAAATCTTATTTAATATATTTAAATATAGCTAAGCATAATATCTTATTCCAAAAAAATAATATATAATTTTATATAAAACCAATTCATTGTTGATATTAAGGTTATGTTTAAAATTTGAGAATTTATTCAAGAAATCCTTGCCCAAAATATATAAATTTAATAACACATTATTATTAAAACATACCTTATAAAATCAGATGACCATTAACATAAATAAGTATCATCTAATTCATCGGATGACCTATATTAAAATAAAATCAAGTTGATTGTCGCTGTCAAATCAAAAATAAATCGCACAAGACGACAAATGACATTTGAGAAAGAGGTGGTTGTGTCAAAATAATAAAATAACGGTTCCAACCGTTACAAGGTATGCTTTTCTTAGTCCGTCGACTTAATATTGTAAAAAGGATGCCGACATATGGCGGTGGCTCTAAAAGATGTTTTTGTTACTTTTATCATTCCTTTGTATGTTTAACGTACAAAATCAATATACCTGGATCAGTGTTACTTTAGCTTCTCAGAAATGTCCATTTATCCGAAATTGTTACACAGTTTATTGTACCAATTAAAAAAATTAAATATTACAGGTCATTTTCTAACTGTTCCAGATAAACCATTTAGCAGAGGGGGCTATTTTCTTAGTGAGGCTATGGGCTACCTCTACTTTTAGGTGTGGTAGTAAACCTGAAATAAATAAAAACAACTATTATAATATAAATGTTCCAAAAAGTAAACAATATTACTTACATATTTATTTATATTATGTCGTTTGATTTTAATACTGCTCCTATTTATTGAAGTAAATGCTTCATTTTTCTTGGTATTTGCCTTATACTTCTACAAAGAATTGTTTCAGAATTGATCACATACCTTCTTACATAAGATCGATGAGCATTTTTCTCAAAATGCTGAGAACAGATATAACAGAGTTTAGCTTAAAATAATTTCTAAACAATTTGATTAATGGTTTGTAAACACTGTTCAATTAAGTGCTCGAAATTCCAAGGAGACCTGAAAAATAAAAAGCATTTATAATACAACTCTTGGAACATAATTAAAGTAGTTACTGTTACTTACAAATGATAAGATTTAACATAAAATCACCAAGTAAAGCAAGGTTTTCAAGATATTCATTATTTGTTGATGGTTTTTGTAAAGTATAGGTTCGTAAATAATATCTTTGGGGACTGACTTTGGTTAAATATTATAACATAACAACTAAATCTATTGCGCTGAGATGTAGTTTTCTATCTTCTTTTAAAAGGCACTTAGAAAGCTGCGCAGTGCGACCATTATCCGTATAGTAAGAGAAAATCGAAGTATGTGCATTTGGGTAATCTGTGATATCGATTTATTCATAAAACGCATGTTCGCTCCTCAGATAAATGTACTCGCACAAACCATCCCCACTCACATAAGCAGCTGTCTTCTTCTTTCAAACGCGG